TCAGGGTCTCCCCGAGGGGCGGGGGACCGTTCCATTCCCGGGCGATGTCGGCGGCCGACTCCCGGAACTCGCGGTGCAGGTCGCGACACAAGGTGAGGGAGGACTCCGAGATGCCGGAGCGGAGCTGGCTGCGCTGCTTGACGAGGACCTTGTCGATCTTGGGGACGACGATCTGGTAGGGGAGGCCGTATTCGCTGAGCGAGCGGATCATGACGCGGTCCATGGGCTTCATGCCGTGGAAGCCGTCGATGAGGAGGAAGATGCGGCGGAGTCTAATTGTGTGTAGCTTTCAAGTTAAAAGGTGGGGTTTGCGTGGGGGATTGCTGCTCGAGACCAAAACGTACTGCTTCCTCTTCTGCAGGTACTTCATGATTTCTTTACCCCAACTATACCGACCGCCATAGCCGTAGCCCGGCATATCCAGCAGCACGATTTTCGACTCGCCGCCTTTGGTGCCGCCGATGCCGAAGGCGTTCATCTCCCGCGTCCGGCCGGGTTTCGTCGAGGTGTAGCAGAGCTTGCCCGTCATGATGCGGTTCAGGAGGGAGCTCTTGCCGACGTTGGAGCGGCCGAGGAAGCAGACCTCGGGCTCGTGGGCGGACATGGGCGTCGTCAGGAACTTGCTGGCCGACCAGAGCTTGACCGGGGAGTGGCGCGAGGGGGCGAAGAACTTGTCCGCGTAGGCGAGCTGGGCGTCATTGGGGCACTCGGTCTCATAGTAGTCGTTGAGGATGGTTGCTGGCAGGTCGGAGAGGAGCGTCTTCGGGGTAGGGTGTGCTGGTAGGTCAGAGAGAGGCGGATTCGAGGTAGGGTGTTGAGGGTCGACCGCCTCTGCAGGGCTGGAGAAGTCTTCTTCCAGCGAGTGCTCGGTAGGCGAGGAGTTCCTCGCCGTTACTGCGGAGGAGAAATATCGATGGACTTGTGCCTGTAACGGCCGGATCGAACATCTGAGAGTGTATAGTTGGATAACCATGTTGAAAATTTGGCGAGTCCCCCCACTCAGAACAAGGTTGTTGAGGTGATAATGGTCTGGTAGTTTTTTGGAGACAAGCTTTCCTCCGCGGCGCACGGAATCAGAAAATCTGCCGGGCGGTGACATTCTAGGTCGGTCCGATTGACTCCACCGCCTAATCGATAAGAAGATGCGTCACGCCCGCGCGAGGGGAAATCGGAGAGCTTCGGAGATACGCACAATACAGACTGACTCGGACTACTGCAGGTACTCTTCCTGAGCTGGTTCACTTGGAGCACTTAACCCACCACATATTATCTTTCTCTCTTTCAATCCCTTCGCAACGCGTCCATATTCCAGAAGACAGACAAGAGCCAGGCCTCCAAGATGATCAACGCCGTCCTGGTGTTCAACAACAACGGTCAACCCCGTCTGACCAAGTTCTATACTCAAATTGTGAGATGTTCTCTCTACAGGCCTTGCCCGCATCCCCTCTTATCTCTTGCTCACCTGAACCCCCTATTTCCCCCCATCCAGCCTTGTCATTGCTAACCCTCTCTCGCACACACCAGGACACCCAAACCAAACAGACCCTCATCACCCAGATCTACAACCTGGTCTCCCAGCGCCCCCCAAGCGCCTGCAACTTCCTGCCCCTCCCGCCGCTGCTCTCGCGCGGGGCCAGCGCCAGTGCCGCCAACGGGCCCTCGGACGCGCCCACCCAGATCACCTACCGCACCTACGCCACCCTCTCCTTCATCATGATCTCGACCTCGACCGAATCGCCCCTGGCGCTGATCGATCTGATCCAGGTCTTCGTCGAGGCCCTGGACCGCATGTTCGAGAACGTCTGCGAGCTGGACCTCATCTTCGGGTACGAGACCATGCACGCGGTGCTGGGGGAGATGATTGTCGGCGGCGTGGTCGTCGAGACCAACATCGAGAAGATCGTGGCTGGCGTGAAGAGCCAGGAGGGCCAGCTGGGAAAGAAGCGGGCGATTCAGGCCGCCAGTTCGGGGCTCGGGAGGGGTGGGTTGCCTGGGCTGGGTGGGTGGCGGTAGAATCTAGTTACTCTATACGGTGATAGACCGGGGGAAAGGGGAGGAAGTGCTATGCATCAAGCGATATCTGATACCACAAGTAGGGATGAGATGAGACTCTAATGTGTAATGATTTTCTTTGGCTGTATACGGTTTGGTTATTTTGTATGCGCATACAGGGTTGTTCTGTTGATGGCGTTGGGGTAATGTGATTTGACTAGACCTGGCTTTTAATTTTGATTAGAGGCAACCAGTAACTCGACAGACAATCTACAACGAAGTTACACTAGCTACGACTTCAAAATAGCTACTGAATTAAGGATATGCAGGCTGGAATATGGTATAGTATAGTACACCGCCCGCTATTCTGCCAGGGGGTTGAGCCCTATCGCACGTGATCGACAGGAATCTGGAACGCCGGCAAGGCAGTTGTTCCGAAGGCGGCCCACAGAAGCGGCAGGCGGCTTTTTCTCCGCGAAAATCAAATTGCTTCCCTTCGTTTCTTCTTTTCTCTCGATCGTCAATCCCGTCACTCAACGCCGCTGCGGATCTCAGTCGACAACAATGGTGGTAAGCATTTGAGATTTCTACATCCCAATGAAGCAACAAAATTCCTCTACCCTCTAGAGAGAGAGAGAACACACCCTTGTCATCGACAAACAACTGCCGACGACCGACATGTTGTGTGAAAGACCATAACTGTGGGAAGTCGGTAACTTGCATCTCGCGCACCTCGGTCTTGAGATAGCAATGTTTTCCGCTGCATTTCGTGGATCTCGGGAACCCTTCACTGGGCCCTCTCAAGTGAAACGGAATCAGTGATGATTTGGCTGGAGTCGCAAGGTTGTAGCCGGATTCTTCTTGTTCCTTTTCCCAATGTGATATGAGCTTGGGATACAGTTCATGCGCACAGGAATAGGAGCGAATCCAAGTTTCGGCTGCAACTTTGCGATCTCTCTAGAGTTTAAAGAAGAGTTTCAGCACAAGAAAAAAAAAACACAACATGGTGGAGCACACGATGCTGATTTCTTCTTTTTTCTCAATGATAGCCCCCTAAGTCCGGAAAGAAGGTTGCCTCCCTCCCTTACCCCCAGGGTAAGGCTGGTTCCAAGAAGGCCGCTAAGGTGAGCACACGCCCTTCAGATCTTGAGCTTGTCAAGGCCTAGATCGTCGAAAAACGACCTCTTGTGAATGCTAACGAATCTCCACCCAGAACCCTCTCATCGAGAAGCGTTCCCGCAACTTCGGCATTGGCCAGGACATCCAGCCCAAGCGCAACCTGAGCCGCTTCGTCAAGTGGCCCGAGTATGTCCGCCTCCAGCGCCAGAAGAAGATCTTGAACCTCCGCCTCAAGGTCCCCCCTTCCATCGCCCAGTTCCAGAGCACCCTGGACCGCAACACCGCCGCCCAGACCTTCAAGCTCCTCAACAAGTACCGCCCCGAGACCAAGGCCGAGAAGAAGGAGCGTCTCCACGTCGAGGCCACCGCCGTCGCTGAGGGCAAGAAGAAGGAGGATGTCTCCAAGAAGCCCTACAACGTCAAGTACGGTCTCAACCACGTTGTCGGCCTCGTTGAGAACAAGAAGGCTTCCCTCGTCCTCATCGCCCACGATGTCGACCCCATCGAGCTGGTCGTCTTCCTGCCCGCCCTCTGCCGCAAGATGGGTGTCCCTTACGCCATCGTCAAGGGCAAGGCCCGTCTCGGTACCGTCGTCCACAAGAAGGTATGTCTCCACACTGCTCTGCTCCCAAACCCTACACATCCCTTGAAGACACCCTCTAACATCTTCCCTCCAGACCGCTGCCGTCCTCGCTCTCACCGAGGTCCGCTCCGAGGACAACACCGAGTTCTCCAAGCTCCTCTCCGCCATCAAGGAGGGTTACACCGACAAGTACGAGGAGTCCCGCCGCCACTGGGGTGGTGGTATCATGGGCGCCAAGGCTGTCGCCCGCCAGGAGAAGAAGCGCAAGGCCGTTGAGGGTGCCATCCGTGTCTAAGCTAGTCTCGTGTCACTAGATCCCCAGATACCAAACCAAAAAGCTTAGCTATGTGAACCGAAAAAATTTCACTGCACTGACGGGTTACCACAAAAAACTCTTATACCCAAACGAAACCTTTTTCAATGACGCCGTCTTTTACCTTTCTCCTCCATGTACAACCTTGCAGATACCCCCCCTTCATGAATGCTATTTTCCAATGATTCTCAACTCTTTGTCTCGTGCACACCTTCGTAGAAGTATACTTTCTTTTTTGCATTCAAAGTTGAGAGAGGAAAAAGGAAGCGAAGCATTCATGTGAAGAGGTCTGCACCTTGTTAAGCGTAGTTTACAGTTGTAGAATAGAGTTTGCGCCCAAGGAACGACTACGCTGCACTCGTTCCTCCAGTGGCTAGTCTGCAAATGTAGCACGGAGGAGGCTGTATCAACCTCAGGCATTAAAATCTGCCGTCTTGGCCTCAGGTACAACCCTCGACACCTAGGCAACCAGGGTCCAAATCATACTTTGCTTCCGTAGGTCCTCATGAAAATGCAATCAATGCTAGTTCCTAGTCCATGCCACCCGAGTAGTAATAAAATACATCCCATGAGATCACACGCATGGTACAAAGAAAGCATCTATACAGAGAATAGCAACGTGTGGTATGCTGGCGTGTGGTATGGTACGACAAAAGCTAAACCCCCGCCAAATAATCAGAAAAGAAGAAACGAATTGATACAGCCAGCAAGAAATACACCCTGTCCCTTTCAACCATCCGATATGCTCCACTTATCGAAAGCACTGACAGGCCCCGCGGAATCAACGTGGTCAAGAGACTACCAAAGGGAGCCGGTAGAGGTAAGAAGTGGGAAAATGAAAAGAGAAAATAAGATAGACAACGAGAAAGAAAGGATTCTTGGAAGCTCCGTGCACTTGCTGCGTGCAAAAGGAGGTTGATATCAGTCGAAACAAGAAGAATAATATGTGATGAAGGGGAATCGAATCAAAGTTGGTTGTTGGTCATTCGGTCATTAGCGCTGAGCAGGTGGTCGTGTAAGGCCTTGCCTTGCCTATACGTGGTATATTTTGTTAGTACCATGTTGTGTGCGGAACGGACCGGGGTTGTGCTCACCTTCATCTGTTCGATTCTTGCTTTGAGTTGACTTGTCACTTCCGCAGCTCTTTTCCAGTTCTCTGCTGGTTCCGTGGACCTGGCAGGCTGGTCCTCGCCCGAAGCACTGCCAGAACCCCGTACGGATGAGCGTGTGGGGCTTCCTAAGCCAGAGTAGCCGGTGCCGAATGTAGGGCTGAGCTTTCGTCGCCCGAGGGCTCCTTCTCTGGTGCTCAGTGATGGAGAGTCCAGGCCGTTGTTCTCCTTCTCTTCGCTGGGGCTAGTGGAAGCATAACTACGCGGCCGGGAGGTATCAAACCGTGATCCTACGTGGAGTCCAGCTCGGGACATCGGATTGTACCCATTGTGGCCCGAGTCTTGATAGACCAACCCGGGTTCAGAGATACTGATGTTGTCGGGCAGGGCATTTGGTGGGCTAATGGCACTGGCGCGCAGCGCTCTAGCTAGCTCGCGCTTTAAGCGCTCGATCTCGCGCTGCTGCTTCTGGACCGTCTGTTCTGCTGCCTCCGCGTCACTGCGTGCTCGTACCAATTGGGTCTCTTTAGCTTTGATGCTCAGAACATCCCTAGTGTGGTCTTCGATGAGCTGGGCGTTTTGGTTCTGGAGTTCTGTGATCTGAGAGTTCAACTTAGTCCGGTCGTACTTCAAATCATCGATAGTGCGGGTGTATCGCTCTTTCTCGAGGCGTAATTCTTCCAGTTCCGCACGTTCAGCGGCAGACATGCCACTCATCTGCGGTGCGACTGGGGCTGGAGCTGGCTCGGCCGGAGCCGCTGGCCGGGCGATTGGGCGACCAGCAAGGCCCCTTCCGAGACCAAGTCGAGGTGCGGCAGGCGGCGGCGGTTGGTCCTCTGAAGGGGGTGATATTACACGCCTTTGGGGTGATGCCAAGCCAGCCTGACCAGCAAGCCTCTTTTTGAGGCCACTAGGGGCAGGAACGCCGCCCGGCTTTGCAAGCCCACCCAGCTTAGACGGAATGGCTCTCGTGGCAGGCTTAGATGGGGACGGTGCTGGAGCTGGCTCCTCGACAGGAGCTGGTGCAGCTGCAGGCCTCTTCGTTCCGAGTGCTGGCTTCTTGCCACCGAGGACCTTCTTGCCAACTGCCGAAGTAGTCTTTGGCGGGCCGACGATAGGCTTGGGTCTGTCCTTCGCCTTGACCTCCGCCGTCTCGTAGAACTCCTTGATCTTCGTTTTCCGGATATCATCGAGACCTTCAAGGTAAGGATTCATTGCCCGCTCTCCCAGGATTTTCATCAAGGTACCCAGAACCTCTGCGCCTCCAGCACGATTGACCTCGCTAGACTCAGTAAGAAGCTTTGTAGCCGCCTCTGCAATCGACTTGATCTCTGGTTTGGCCGGCACGTCCCTGGTGGTACGAAGACAACGGATCAAGAATTTGAGGGTTTCTTGCTTGACTTGCGGGTTCTTGTGTTTGAGGAATTCAAGGATCTCCTCCAAGCATTCCGTCAAACTTGTGGCGATAAAGACCGAGTCGAGCGCTTGACCTAGGGCATCTGCGACGCTTTGTTTCTTCTCTTTCAAGCGTTCCAACATCGGTGCCATGATAGTGGGTCGATACTTCAGGAATCCGCTGCGCAGGCCTTTGGCAAGGAGGTCAACACAGTTGGCGGCAACAGTCACGACTGCAACATTGGCATCTTTCATGGACTTGGCCAATAACCGTACCACCTCATCAAATGGCCCATCCTTGATTCTGGGTACGTTCAGTACAGTGTAGAGTTCATCCAGAGCCTCCTTCCTGTCCTTCCACTTCGACGAAGAAAGCTGTTCCGTGAAGTTGCCGGGTACTTTGGACGCCACATCCACGGGTTCCGCGAGGTCGAAAACGTCGACTTCGCCCTCATCCTCTGCATATTCCTCAACTCCCTCCATCTCGTCATCGCCACCTGCTGCAGGAGCAGCACTGGCGACAGCCGCCGCATCCTGCTGCGCTTTGGTGAGCCTCTCCTGCTTTGGTGGCGGTTCTTGCTTCACGGCTTCGAACAACTTTTCCAAGTCAGTCTGTTGAACAGGCTTCAGCTCGCCCCAGAAAAGGGGCTTAATGGCTTCCTTCAGCCACCTATAGAGCTCCACGGTAAGGTTTTGAGCTTCCGCCCGAACATTCTTGTCTGCGTGCCCAAAGACCTTGGGTAAAGCTTTTAGTACCGGCTTTGGGTCCACAAGCTTGCACCCGAAGTTGTGATAGATCGCCTTCAACCCCGCCAGCGCGGCCGCAATCACCTTGGGCATTTTATGTGACAATGCGGGCATCATCTCCTCAATCACCGGATCCGCCTTATCCATCTCCACACACAGAAGCAGCGCCTCGATCGCATTCGCTTTGGCGGTTGGTCGTGTAGATATGAGACCCTTTTCACAGATTGGTAAAATTGTAGTTGCGCGCGTTCTAGGGGATGAGACATCCTGTTAGTCTTGTGCTCCCAAACCGACCTCCCCTTCCTCCATCTCTCTCTGTTTCTCCACCCGAAGCTCCACGGATCGGAAACACTCCCCCAACACGAAGAGAAACAAAAAGGGAAACATATAGACCAATTTACCTTGTACAAGCCTGTACCCCACCAAACTTCAAAAATGCACAATAGGCTCCAAGACCTTCTTGTTGAGCCGCCACATTGGAATCTGCCACCGCGCCTTTCCAGAGTCCGGGGTCTTGTATGAATGGAGTGAATACCGGATCCGACTCGTCCGGCGTCTTTTCGAATTGTTGTTTGGCATCTTCGTATCCTTCCTTGCGGACTTTCCAGTTCTATGGTTTTGGGGGAGCTCGCAATCAGTATAAGTCTCTCGCCACATGACCGCCCGTCGAGCCCAGAACGAGGGGCTTTGCGGTATGGGAGGGATGATAATCCAGGGAAAAGGCTAGCAAACCTTGTGCGCGAACCGGTCGGGCAATGGTAAGGAGGAGAAGTCCTCTTCTCCCTCGGCCATTATGACGGGTTAATGAGAGTAGTTTCCACTAGATGATGAGAAAAAAGAGAGAGCGACATGATTAGCGATTGCGCTCTTACCCACAAGGAAATAGACTGGATGGCATCGAACTGCGCTTGTTGAGGTTCGATCCTCAAAGGTGACAAGTCCAAGCGCGCTGCAAAAGTCCTGAACCTCCAAGGGGGAGGGGAACAGCGAGGAACAGCATCGAAGGATTCCCCATCCAACCCTTCAAAAATGAAGACGTACCTGGAAAATTGCAGATGATTGCAGATCTCGTGCACGGGCGAACAACCGGGAATAGAGACAGGGCGTAGGTTCCGGAGCTCACGACCAGCACACAGTATGAAGGGGGTCTTCGAGATGGAGTAGTTCCAGTGACTGGAAGATGAGGTAATTCCGGGGATTTAGTAGGTAAAAGGGCTCTTAAGCCGGAGGATGTCGAGGAAGTGTGGCGATTAATACAAAGAGTGGGAGAGGGAAGGAGTTGGAGGGAAAGTAAACAACGGCAAAGTCACTGGGGTGACTTCGCGACCCAAAGACGGGGCTTGGCAGCCGTAATTTTGCTGCCCGCACCGCGCAAACACGGGGGGAGGGGAGGGAGGGAGGGATGAAAAGTGTAGAGTGAATGATTGGCCTAGTTTGACATGACAGCTCAATATATTGTTCTAATTGCCAACAACAAGATATTGTCTTACTATCATCAATGCAGAGGGTGGGACAGCGCAAAAAGTATGTACTGCTTTATAGCATAAGACGTAGTAGCATCGCGTATGCCTTGACTCTACTTCACTCTTTACCCCGGAGTCTGGCTTACTGGACTAAACTGGCTAGACAAGCCCGAATCGAGATTCCACACTATGCCACATGAATAGCTATAATATACACAAGGTTTACATACAAACCATACACAGTCAAGGAGAAGACGTAAATAAAAAAAAAAACTCCTGGTAAGCCTACTCCCACTCCCCTTTCACCCTCTCCAATAAGAATGAAGCAGAGCAGCATCAAATCCCCCACTTAGTTCTGTGTAGTCTCAGCAGCAGGTGTATCCTTGGCAGCCTTCTTAGCAGCCTCCTTAGCAGCCGCCTCCGCCTCCGCCTCTGCCTCCGCCTTAGCAGCCTCCTCGGCCTTAGCAGCCGCAATCTGCGCTCTCTTGAACCCGATCTGCGGCACGAACGAGTCCTGTCGCTCCTGGATCAACCTCCGAATGCGCCCGACGTGCTCCGGGGAAGGGGAGCCACCCTTCACGTTGCCGCCGGCCTCGCGGATGCGGGTTTGCCTGCGCTGCCACTTGGCCGTCCGCTTCTCCGCGCGCGCGGCGTCACGCTCCTCCCGCGTCATCACGGCCGGCCGGTCCTCGATAGGGTCTCCGAAGGGGGCGATGATCCGCTCCACCACGTGGTGCACGTTGCGGCTCTTGGGGTGCCCGGACGAGAACTCGATCACGTCGCCGACACGCAGCGACTCGCGGGGGTCCGAGACCAGAATGATCTCCTTCTTGCGGTAGTACTTGCGGAGGTGGGCGTCCCACTCGACGTTCCAGTGCAGGACGCGGACGGTGCGCACCATGCGGCCGGCGGATATGACGGTGCCCTTTTTGAGCTTGTAGGCGTATTGGCGGAGCGAGGGAGGGACCTCGGTCTGGACACTACTGGAGGAAGGGGCTTCGGCGGTCGGAGTGGCGGTCTCCACGGATGGTTGCTCCTGCGGTTGCTGCTCTGTTGGTTGCTCGAGGAACTTGGGGGCCGTCGTGGCGATTGATCGTTGGAAGAACGTAGGTCTGGAGAGGTATTGGGTGGCGGAGGCGGGGGTGCGGAGAACAGAAGTTCGCAGGGGCTGGAAGGCCCGGAGCACGTTGCTGAAGGCCATTGCGAAGCCTGTGTGGTGTAGAAGGAATTCGACTGAAGGAGTAGCGTAGGGTCGTTGTTCAGTCACGACCGACTCGATCTGTTAGACAAGGCCGCACAGCTCGTAGGGATTGCGATCGTGCGAGGCTTGTTTATCGGACGGTCCCGATTAGTGAGACTTTTTCTGAATGGTATAAGCCGGTATACTGTGATCGCACAGCAGATCCCGGATAGTAAAGAGTGCTGGGGTAAGGTTAATCGACAGGCACGGCTAGATTTCAGATCGGAGCAGCATCGCGGCCGCGGGCGAGTTGGCCGAGAATTTCTGCAATCTCGGGCATGTTTGCACTTTTTGCACTCCCGCATACTTTCCCTCCGCCTTCGCATCGCTCCCAGACACAACTGGTTGTCCTGTTTACTATATGCGTTCACAAGCAATGCTTAATTATACTCAAGAATGGCGCTTCTCATTTAAAAACATTTCGAAGTGATAAGTGGGATATAATCAGTTGAGATATTCTAAACCATGCTCCTGTACATACACAGCACACCAACACCTCGAGACTCAATCCCAACCAAACCATGAAACCTATGGCCTAAACGCAACAATGACTCTTTTGATATACTCCATACGGTAGAAGATAAATGACTCGACCAGGAAATGGATAAGCACGCCATATCGAAAGCAAGAAAAAGAATAAACACCATAATTCGCAATCTCCCCCAAGCCCAACGCTTTCTGCAGGCCGAGCAGAGGGTCTATCAGCACTTCAAGTCCATGCCTATGCTTCTTGCGGAGCCTTGACACCATTCGTGTGCTCCGAATGGTTAGAGGGGCCTGGAATTATAGAAGCCTTCCTGGCTTGGAACTTTTCCGCCGATTGAGTCGATATCCGAGTCAGCTCAGTAACAAATGACTGGCCCCAGAATGCGCTATGAGATATCAGTTAGAAGATTGGTCCAGCACTGTCAAGCTTAGCCATACCTTGTATACTTGTTGACATATTTGTCCAGCTTAGAGAAGTTCAGGGCCCTCTGCTCATCGCTCATTGTGACAGCCTCCTGATAAGCCGCTGCAAGCTCTTCGGTGTTCCAGGGGTTGATAATAATACTGCCATTCAAGCTTTGCGCCGCACCCGCGAACTCCGAGAGAACCAAGCTGCCATGGCGTTTCTTTTGAGTGGCAATGTATTCGTAGGCCACGAGATTCATGCCATCACGTGTGGATGAGACAATGCAGGCATCGGATACGGCGTAGAGAGCGATCAGTTCGTCGAAGTTGACTGACTTGTGTAGGAAGTGAATCGGCATGAACTCAACAGTGCCTGCCCTTCCATCAGCAAGGCCTCGAGAAGTCAGTCTGGGGGCACTCACCAAATTTACCGTTGATACGGCCCACGAGTTCGTTGACCACAGCCCTTAGGTTTTGGTACTCTTCCACGTCTTGTCTGCTGGGAACCGCTACCTGAACCAGTACAACCTTTCCAACCCACTCAGGATGATCACTGAGGAAGACCTCAAGCGCATGTAGCTTTTGAGGGACGCCCTTAATATAGTCAAGACGGTCGACGCCCACCATTAGCTTCACGCCCTGGAATTTCTGCTCTAGCATTGCAATGCGTTTTTGAACTTTTTCCTTCTTGAGACCCTCCTCAAACTTCTCGGGATCGATGCCGATTGGGAAGGCGCCACAGGCAATCAATTTGCCCTGGAACTCGATTCCATTTGGAGTAGTAGGCAACCCCCTAAATCTAGGGTTAGCAAAACTCTGGGTCATGTGTGAGAAGTCAGTCATCCAATACATACAGCAAACGCGAGCAGGCACTCAGAAAGTGTCTGGTATAATCGTAGGTGTGAAAGCCGATCAAGTCACAGTGAAGGACGCCGAGCAGTAACTCATTCCGCACAGGCAGGATTCTATAGATTTCGCTGCTAGGGAAGGGCGTGTGAAGGAAGAATCCGATCTTAACGTTCTCTTTGCTGTTGCCAATCTCTTCGCGAAGCATCTCCGGGAGCAGCATCAGATGATAATCATGGACCCAGATTAAATCACCGTCTTGAACTTCTTTCGCAACGGCCTTGGCGAAGAGGCGGTTGGCTTCCTTGTATGCCTCCCAGGCAGATTCATCGAAGGTGATCTCACCAGGGTGATAATGGAAAAGAGGCCAGAGGATCGAGTCTAGAGAAGCAGGCAAGAGGTCAGCGAATATGGTCACGAAGTGAGCATTCTAGTACATCGCGCCGACTATGCGATTCAATTGGCGAGGGGATGGACTGACTGGAGAACCCATTGTAGTGACGATCCGCAAGCTCGTCATCGATGAAGACCGGCACAGCCCCGTACTCTTCCTTCAGACGTTTTTTTACCTCGGGAATTTCCTCCTCTGGGACTTCCAGACCGGGCCAGCCGTACCATTGGAAAGTCGTGGACTTCGAGAGACCGCTGAGTCCACTAACCAATCCTCCAGAAGACATGGAGAAGTCATATCTGCCATCCTCAGATCGCTTGATGGTGATAGGGAGGCGGTTGGAGACTAGTAACAGCCTAGCCTCGTTCGGGACGGGGTTATCGAGAGAAGGCATGCTGACGGTGATGCAGGCGATTGCGCAAAACTAGATGGCGAAAGATGCGCAGTCAAGCTCACTGACCAATGATGCAAATTGACACCAAAGCAGGATATGGATCAGAGCTCGGATCAGGTTCGATAAGGTGAGGATAAGAATGTAAAAAGATGCCGTGAAGATTCTCACGATTTAATTGATAGTAGTTTAGGGAAGAGATCAAAAGCGGGCAAAGAGAGAGGAGGGGTAGGACAAGAAATCAGTTTGGGCCAGTCTTGGAAGATTCAGCGGAAGTTATGAAGGAATTGGCGCGACTCCGGAGAGGAAGCGGGATGGCAAGAGGACTTCTTGGTGGGGGGGGGGAATGAGGACGAGAAGGGAAAGCACCAGAGGAGAAAAGAAAATTGGCAAGATTGGGGGACCTTCAGCGGTTCAACGAGCCAAGAGAAGTTTCAAGTAAGTAATGGTAGTATTAGTTGGCAGACGTAGGTAGGTTAGGTAGGTTAGGGAAAGTAGGTAGGAGTTGGAGTAACTGTTAGGTCTGGCGGCGGGGAATAATGGCCGAAGTGACCTCACCGCAGCGGGCAG